GACAAATATATGGATTTGAAGGTTAGCCGAGCGATTTCGTGACTTCTTTTTAATAGCGCTTAGGAGAACAGTAATAGTCGAAAATAATGATCGTATTTTTTTGTTGATTATTAAATTATGATGATAGTAATCGATTTTGAGTGAAATGTTTTTGCCTGTCGAGAATGCAAGTAGTCATCTTCAAATAAGGAATGACACTATGAGCAGTGTAATTAAAAAATTTGCCCATATGAATTGCGATTTTTCCAAAGTTTCGGTTTCTTCACTTAAAGCTTAGTGGGAGGTATTGTGGCTCATTGAAATCTGATAGGAGTGAATTCAGGAACCAGGTCGCGTTTGTCAGCTAACCACTGCGCTTGTTCTCGTGCAGCTAGCGAGAGGAGATTCTGTTGCGGCGATGAAAAGCTTCCAGAATTCTTTCAGGTAATACCTTAAGAAACTTTACATCTAATGCAATTTCAAGTATTTTTGATTTCCGGTTAAAATTCCAAATTCATTTTCCATTAGTTTGATTTTATCCACTTAGCGATTTGTTCATTCTGCAACATTTAAAACAGCTCTTTGCAAGCGAATTTTATCTTGACGTCCACATCACTGAGTATCACCTCGATTTCCCCTTGTACATCAAGTTTCCCTGTTTGCATAACGAAGTTATGAGCTCAATGATTCACGTGAACTACAATGTCAAGAATTTTAATTTCTTGAACAATCATAAAGGTGCATCTATAATGAACATAGTTACTGTTAATATTGTCATAGCTATCGTCATTATTTGCTAACGTTTTTTACTATTTATTCAGATGTGAAGGATTCGAGCATTCCGAAGAGGCACGTACATGTAATGCACTTATATCAACATTCGAATCTGGTGATAATAAGGCCTTTCAAGAAGTGCTGCAACGACCAATTCTGCGAACAATGGATAATGAGGTGAGCTAGTTGGTTTCATAAGTTTAGTTCCGTAAGTGATCGATGAATCTAATGATTCGCGATGATTTCGGACGACTTTTGGGTTTGGCACAGCTAAAGTTAGCGAATCAATTAACGATATTTCATTGATATCATTTTTAATTTGTGTTGTGATAAATTTCAGTATTTACGATTAATGAAAAAATTGAAAGTCGAAGACGAACTTAAATCTAGTGAACACGTTGGAGGAGGGGCTGAATTCGTTAACCAGGAGGGAGAAGAAGAAGACGAGGATGAAGATCTCAAATAGACTCGTTTTTTTTTTAATTTTAATTTCAATCAGTCATATATTCTTAATTGTGTCGAGTGAAGTTATGGGAATTATATTTTGTGAATGTGATAAACGATATGTGTGAGTAAAGATAGCTTGTCAACAGACCGATTGTCAGTTGAGATTAATCATTGTAATTCACTCACTTCTAAAGGATGAGCATTACAGTTTTGTGAAGTCGCAATCGTTGTTTGCACTTACGATTGCAATTTTTAGAAAAAGTTTCGAATGAGCAGAATTTTGCATATTGTATGTATTATTGTCAAAGAACATTCCAGTTTTGTGGCCATCATGCTATCGTCATGAATTTGACGGCTTTGTATTGTGTTTATGAATTGTGTACATCTTAAAATGTTTTTTGTCGCTTCTCAATCGATGCTTACGTCAGTCTTAAACATTAAGCCTGTCGACACTTTGGGATTTGAAAACGATAATTTTGCTATCCTTGAAGCACCGTGCTATTCTAAAGTATCGCCTATTCTTTTGTAACGTGCAGAGCAATAATTTTCAAGTCAAGTTTTCATTATTATAGTGTCATTCATCTGCATGATCCATTCGCTTCTTTATTGATGTGGCATAAATAAAGTTTCGTAAATAAAGACTGGTCAATCGGTTTTATGCACACCTACACACACACATTGCATTCAGAACTCTAACAATTAGAAACACACCACTTGGATACGAAACATCCACATTTATAAAGCCAGATCAATAATTAGACATTCTGAAAGAATTGCAAATTATGTAACAAAGTTTTGTTTTCGATAGGTTAATTTTAATCAAAACATGGTAATTTCTATTGGTCAATTACAACTAGAGTGAGCTGTCTGTGGATACATTGAATCATATGAAAATTTTCAGGGCTCTGAAATTTCAATGCAGACCTCTGAAATTACATGGATGTATTGCAAATTTGCATAGGTAAGTGTAATCGAATAGTGGAATTTGCATGTAAGATTAATCAAAATTTGCAAATATTTGCAAATTTTGTGCCAATTTTATACAAATTCTTCCGAGAATTGCGTCTATAAATTGAGCGTTTCTCGATGAAGATATCATTGTTCGTAGCAGCTGTCTTCAGCGCCTTGTTTGTGGTGCTGAAGTGGGATCGTCTATTGGGAGTAGCAACCGGACGATCTGGCCCTTGTTTTGGGCTCTTCGAAGGATTTTGAAGAAGAAGAAGAAAAAATTGTTTATTGGACTGATTGAAGTCTTCAAAGTGACTCGCCATGGTACGCGATATGTGTCTTTTCTTGCGGGCATAATGAAGGATTTCGGATTCATGGACAGAGTTCATGGAATGTCTCTGTGCTGTGTTATAATGTTGCTAATGCAGCAGATACAGTACCCACCTCTTATATCGGACTATACGGTTGTTGATGATTGGTTGAGTGTTGCTGATATCAGAGCGAGAGAAACTTCACGAATGAATCGCTCGCTGGCTAATTAGTACTCATTTGATCGTATGGGAACATGAATCGTGAGGCGTAACGAAAATATATTATGCAAAGCGATTGAGCTCAAACAGAAGTGAGGCAATCGAAGAATAGAAATGAAGTCGTACAAAATTATTTCAGTTCACTCGAGACATTTTCAGTTTGGTTTGGACGGAGATCATGCAAATGAAATAGAATGTGAAATGAAATTGAGGGATCAGAATGGATTAAAGATTGAAGTGACCAGTGAAATAAAAGCAGATCATCATATTCTGTTGATGCTGAGCTGATGTCTTCTGGTGTTTCAGGTATCAGGTCTAGCCGCCGTGCAACAGCGACATCGCATGTATCAGAAAACATTTTGGCAACAAACACATTTGCCGTACTTCAAGGACTTGGATCGAGAGGCAGATGAACAATTCTCAAGGATCAAAACCGGTCTAGCCGCTTCAATCGTTCTGCGTGATATTCGTCCTGCTTTCGTGTATTACATTCAAGAGCTGAACAAGTAAGACTCCAATATCGCTGCTTATACCATAGAGATAAATTCTTAAATCTAGCAAGACTTTTGACGTTCGTTTAATATCAAGTATAACTTATGAACTTCAACAAATTGATCAGTTGAGATCAACAAATGTCATTTCAGATATATTGAATTATACTCGTATCGTTTCACAAAAGGTGA